CTATTTGGTATGTTGTCTTGATTAAGCTTTTTACAGTTCTGCTTGGGATGTGAGATTCGGATATTTTGCTTGGTTTATTTTGCTTTTCATTAATGGTATCCAGACTTTTCTTAGGGGCTTTCGTGTATTTCCTGATGCAATATGACGAGAAGTTCTGCCAAAAATTTTCAGGAACTCTATGGCTGAATTTTAGAAAGGCTGTTGAAGGCAATAAAAAATGGTTCAAGGGCACCACAGCCAAGAACGCCTATATTTAAATAGGTGTATAATTCTTGGATCAAAATATTATAAAATAGGAAGTTGATTTCCATTTTCCTGCAAAAGGTCAATTAAATAATTCCGCATCTATTTTCAAACACATACACTTATTAATTACACATTGTCTTGTTTGAACTCCTGAGATAATGGGTTGGCAATTCTTTGTTTCCACAGATATTAATCAGTGAGTTCAGGATCTCCGATACTAAGAGGATATTAGTACAAGGTTAAACATGATCATAAGCAAAGCCTTCCCTTGAGGTCCCACGGTTTTTCAATTTGCAAGATTTCCACGCATAGAGGAGAGCTGGATGCATTTCAAGAGCTGCTGCTTGTAGTAAAATACATTTGCAGCTGCCGGAGAGGCTGTTTAGTGGATTTGAAAAGTTGGCAGGCAAGCAAGAGAAAACAATGGAAGGAACATACTGGAGAGATAACAGGTAATCAATTCCAAAAAGGTAAGAAATCTCAAAGCTACATTTATGAGACCTCCACTCTGTTTTTCAATAGAAATGTTTCATTGACACTTACTTATTAGATCCTTTTTTTTTTGACAGCTTGCCTTTTAAGTCCCGATGCTCAAAAGCACTTAATCATATGCTTGGTTGCAAAGTGTAAAAAACAGGAACTGTCGTTTCCATGTTATTCCCAAATGGTTTTCCTACAAGCTACCAAGGAAGGGTGAGCACTAAATGTCTGATTTTGAATCAGATCCTATACCTGAAGCATTTTCACCCAATGTGCAACTTTAACAAATATATCTGAGATTTTTCTCTTTTTTGCTTCACCCTCAAATGCAAGTTCTTTCTTTTCCATAGTTTTTAAATTATAAACCTGAGCGTGAAAAAAGATCTCCGGATTATCAACTGTGATCTCTTGGAGCTTTTCTGGCTATAATCCACCTTGGCAGGTTTTGTGGCTAAGCAGCGGGATAAAAATTCTTCAATTATAATAGGGGAGCTTAATTGCAAGCATGTGATGGTTGTGTTTTCTACATTTTGGAGGGTATNGCTTCTCCTAGGTTGATTTTTATTCTGACACTAAAGCCCAAGCAATCATATCTCCCTTTTAATCCCATGCGGGAGGGGCAATTCCCCTCAATCAATTCTCCCACTTGAAGAGCTAGCAGAAAAGGATCTTCAAAACCCAAGCCAGTCACAAATGATGCTGTCCAGTTGCCCAGTAAAGCAGGATATGTTGCACCGGTGGTCTAATGAATAGGAGTCCCAGGGCTCATTGTGTGTAATTTTAGAAAACACTAAATAGCCACACTGCATACTGGCTAACCTCAATTTGGCCTCACAAATTAAGAGCTAGGGCAGGTTCAGGAACCATCCCTTGGAAATGGGCAGCCTGTGGTTATTTAAAAGGCAAAACTATGGCTGTGAAGAATTTTGGGATTTCTGCTTGCTTAAAACCTGTTTGGAAACTCACAGAGAGTGATATCTGACATCTGAAATTAATTGGCATGGAAAATTGGATACTGTAAATTTCTTTCCAAAACTTTTGCCCTGGCTGTTAGACCTTCATGGTTGAAAGCTCTCTGGGAGCCATTGAAGGAATCCTTCTGCTGTCTCTCTCAATGCCTTTGCATAAGGAAAAAATTAAGTCTCCTTGATCTGACCAATTTTAATATTTTGTCAAGAACATGTGTGTCCCATTCACATGTTTTATTAAAAAAAGAGAGATTGTAGGAATTTAATACCCACCCCACTGCTAAAAAAATGAAACATCCTAGGAAATATTGAAAAAGCAGAATATTATATTTCCCTGGATCTGAAATGGAGAAACATGAGGAACACAGGAACAGGAAACAGAGAGATGGGACTGAACAGAGAGTATAAAGCCAGGAACTTTCGGCCCTCTCCTCTTCTCTTCTTCTTTTTTTTTAGTGATTTTATTGAGATTTGTAGGCCGCCCTTTTCCCTGAGGGGACTCAGGGCGGCTCACATAAAATCGGGGAAGGGGAAATACAGACAATAACAAAGACACATATAATAAAAACAGTAACCAACATGCATTCATCATTCGGGAGGGGCAACTATCTTCATCCCCAGGCCTGACGGGCTAGCCAGTTCTTCAAGGCTGTGCGGAAGGCCTGGACGGTGGTGAGGGTACGAATCTCCATGGGGAGTTCGTTCCAAAGGGTCGGGGCGACTACTGAGAAGGCCCTCCTCCTTGTAATTGCCAGCCGACACTGGCTGGCCGATGGAATACGGAGGAGGCCCAATCTGTGTGATCTTATTGGTCGCAGGGAGGTAATTGGCAGAAGGCGGTCTCTCAAGTATCCAGATCCACTACCATGTAGGGCTTTATGGGTGATTAACAGCACCTTGAAGCGCATCCGGAAATCGACAGGTAGCCAGCGCAGCTCGCGGAGGATAGGTGTAATGTGGGTGAACCGCGGTGCACCCACAATCGCTCGCGCGGCTGCGTTCTGTACCAGCTGAAGACGCCGGATGCTCTTCAAGGGCAGCCCCATGTAGAGCACATTGCAGTATTCCAGCCTAGAGGTCACGAGGGCCCGAGTGACTGTTGTGAGTGCCTCCCGATTCAGGTAGGGTCGCAACTGGCGCACCAGGCGTACCTGGGCGAATGCCCCCCTAGCCACAGCCGTCAAATGGTGGTCGAATGATAGCTGTGGATCTAGGAGGACTCCCAAGTTGCGGACCCTCTCTGAGGGGTATAGAGTTTGACCCCCCAGCCTGAGAGATGGAATATTGGTGGAATCCTTGGGAGGGAAACACAACAGCCACTCGGTCTTTTCTGGGTTGAGCACAAGCTTGTTAGCCCTCATCCAGTCCATAACCGCCTCCAGGCCCCGGTTCATCACGTCTGCCACTTCATTGAGTTGGCACGGGGCGGACAGATACAGTTGAGTATCGTCCGCATATTGATGGTATCTGATCCCGTGCCTGCGGATGATCTCTCCCAGCGGTTTCATGTAGATGTTGAATAGTAGGGGGGATAAGACCGAACCCTGAGGCACCCCATATGTTAGGGGCCTAGGGGACGATCTCTGCCCCCCCACTAACACCGACTGCAACCTGTCCAAGAGGTAGGAAGAGAACCACCGCAACACAGTGCCTCCCACCCCCACCTCCCGCAGTCGTCGCAGAAGGATACCATGGTCGATGGTATCGAAAGCCGCTGAGAGGTCAAGGAGGACCAGGATGGAGGAATGTCCTCCATCTCTGGCTCTCCAGAGATCATCAGTCAATGCGACCAAAGCGGTTTCAGTGCTGTAACCGGGTCTGAAGCCTGACTGGAAGGGGTCGAGATAGTTTGCTTCCTCCAAGGACCGCTGGTATACTATAATATTTCTTCACCCAACATTGGAGCATGTGATCACTTTTTCTGTTCAGAACTCAAGCCATGTGATTCTATCCACCATTAAACCATCCTTCCAAGCAGCCTCCATATTTCGAGTCTCTTTTTTCCCACTTGGAGCTGAACCCAGAAGGACATTTCTTCCAACAATCTATTAAATGATATCCTTCTTTTCAGTCTAATTTAGTGTTTAAGACTGCTTAAATATTTTTGAACTTCTCCAGATTTGAACCAGCCTGACATAAGCATAGTACACAAAATTGTCTGCTGTAGCATCCTACCTGTCAATGACTATTTCAGCTTTAACTTCAATAATATCCGGGCAAACAATTGATACAAACTCAAGGTAAACTCAGTTGCAGAAAATACAACTTCAGCAATAGAGTGGTCAACACCTGGAATGCTCTACCTGATTCCATTGTTACATCCTCAAACTCCCGCAGCTTCAACCTTAAACTGTCTACTATGGACCTTACCCCATTCCTAAGAGGTCCAAAAAAGGGGTATTCATATATTTATTTCTTTTGTTCATATCCATGTTTATACTTGTACATGTTTGATTTAATTAATTAATTAATTCGGTGTTATCTGCAAACAAACAACTGGAATGATTCATGAGGACTCTTTGGATGCAGTCATTCAGCCAACTGAATCTAATAGGAGTAATTTCTGGCCAATATTTTACTATTTTATGAAAGAGAACATCATGACACATTCTTTCAAAGGCTAAGCTAATCAGATTGGCATGATTTCTTCATGAAGACTCAAGCTGACTCTTGTTAATTAAAGCATGCTTGCATAAGTGCTCATAAACATATTGTTTGATACACTGCTTGCCTGGTATAAATGAGAAGTTGACGGGTTTTTTTTTTTGTTAAAGACATTTTACTATGATATTCAATTATTTTACATTAACTGCAGCTTGTTAACAATTTCATTAAATTTATAATATATAAAATAATAATGTGTCACATATTATCGATGATTCACTTTGTCCAAGACAGAACATAAAAAAGAATATCATGTAGCTAATTGATTAATATTTCTAAACTGGACTATTGAGCATTGATTAAAAAAAAAGTCTTGCACCAAAGTGATAAATATAAATCAGCCTCAAGTTGCATACTTTTAAATGTTTAATTTGTGCTATGTGGCTTCATTGTGGTTATATTTTTTGTATTCCAGAAACAACAAATCCACCAAGCCTCAAAGTAATTTGGCAATACAAGATGCGCAGTAAAGACCTAAAAAAATATTAAGTGGTTTTAAAATGTTACTTAACATTTCCACATATATTGTCATATTGAAACACTTTCATTGAAAATGCAAAGTCATCAAATTTTCAAAAAAAAAACACCACTTATGATAGAAATAAGTATTAGTTAAAATGTAGTGATGCATTTACATGGCTGTTGCATTTAGTCTTTAGTAAGCTCCATTGAAATGAACAAGGCTGGCAGAGAAAGCATGGGTACAGATAACTTTCTGCTTATGCTTTTTGGTGTGTGTTTATTAATAGTTTTATATCCCACTTTTTAAAACAAATTCCACTATGGCTCACAACCTATTATTACATTCAAGAAGGCAATCAATGTCCATTAGTTTCAATGTATAATATAGAGGTGTCTGTGACTTAAGACCATAATTGGGACCAGAATTTCTGTTGCTAAGCAAGGCAATTGTTAAGTGAGTAAGGGCCCAAAATTATAATGCCACGATTAAACAAATTATTATAGTTGTTTAGTGAATCATGTGGTCGTTAAGTGAATCCAGCTTGTTAGAAATTAGCTGGAAAGATTACAAATAGTGACCATACGATGCCAGGATATTGCAGCTGTCATAAATAAATGCCACTTTCCAAGTGCCTTCATTCAGATCACATGACCACGGGGATGGTGCAATGGTCATAAGTGTTAGGATCAGTTGTAAATAACTTTTTTCAGGGTTATAATTTTGAACAATCAGTAAACAAATGACTATAAATTGAGGATTACCAGTATACCATGTAGATTGCATTGAATATATATCTGATATGAAGAAATTGAGATGGTCACAAGAGCATGGCACCGGAATTTTAAGTGTATGGAAACTCTGGAAGTTGAAGTCCACACATCTTAACATGGCCATGGTGGTGAATGCTGATATAGAGAGGTAGCAATAAATACATTAAAGTATGTTTGAATAATAAATACAAAAAGGGGAAACTGCCAAAGGAACAATTAAGTCTTTGGATTGTCGTCTTCTTCCATTTTTTTTTCCTTTCTTCCTTCTCTCTCTCTCTCTTTCTTCACAGTTGCAGTGTTTATTCTTGCAGCTACCCAAACAATAGTGTTTGTGTCACAGGTTACTACGCTGCAAGAGACCAGAAATCATTGAAAACAGGAGAAGCAGAAAAAGGCAAAGCTGTCTCAGCCACATACAACTTTTTCTTTCTTGTCCATCTACCTTGTAGTTTCAGCAATAGATTTACTATTTCTGTCTGCAACAGACCATCTTACCCTAATTATGTTTTGTTAATGCAGACTTTAGGAGCACCAACACATCTTGTGTTTATAGAATCTCTTTCGTTAGGTATAAAATACATTTTCTTGCTGATTACACTGCATTTATATTACAATTGTTGGCAGCATTATTAAAATTTGTGTGTGTGTGTGTGTGTGCTTATATGTACTTACTCTATCTATCTATCTATCTATCTATCTATCTATCTATCTATCTATCTATCTATATATATATATATATATATATATATATATATATATATTTAAAGTCACAACCCCTGGTATGCCCAAATATGGGAGGAAGGTCACACTTCCACTCTCTGTCTTCGGCTCGTCACAAGAGACCATCCAGACAGAAACCCAATATTTTTACTATTGCCTTTGTTATATTTGTGTTATATTTGTGCTTTACTTATTTATCAGCACAAATATAACACACACACACACACACACACACACACACACACACACACATATGAAACATTGCAATAGAATTTGAACAAAATAAGAATTCAGATTTCTAACAAAAAAAAAAAGCAATCCTTTATTCAGGTTGCTTTAAAATCTCATTACCTTTAGTAAACAATTACTGTTGCTGGATTCTAGCTGTACTAGAATGTAGAAATGAACTTTATAAATACCTTTGAAAATCTTTGGATAACCCTCTGAACCCATGGCATTGTCGTATTCAGGCAGAATTGTTTCCCATCTTTCCTGGTGAGTCTGCGACAGTGGAAAGAATAACATTAGTTTTTGAGTGAGTTCAAACAGCTCTTAACTGGCCTAGAGTAACTAAAATGCAGCAGACTAGCCCTGGGCACTTACATGACTTCAGGCCTAATGCAGTGTGGTCCCTCAGGTATGAAATCCACAGAAGCAATTAACGCAGTTGAAATTCCATGGGAAATGACCTTCACACACTGGCAGCGCAATTCTCTTGCTGTGGAGGAAAAACAACCAGAGACTCACAATGCAATCCTACTGATATATATGCAGATATTACAAAATCTGTCCCCTGGCTATACTTTCCAACAAGTATAATAAGGAGATCCATACTGAATATTTAACTCCAAATATTCTCCCAAGGATAAAGGCTTTGAAAAGTAAACAACTCCAAATCTACTGGTAGACTCATTAATAAATTCCACACAAGCAAGCAAAGTATTTTATATGATTGTAAGCATTTGTTCATATATTAGAACTGCAACAACCTCAAGCTTTTCAACCATATATAGGTAGTCCTCGACTTATGACTACAATTGAGGCCCAAATTTTTGTTGCTAAGTGAAAGATTTGTTAAGTGAATTTTGCATTTTCTGACTTTCCATGCCAGGTTTGTTAAGTGAATCACTGCAGTTGTTAAATTAGTAACCTGGTTGTTAAGTAAATCTGACTTCCCTATTGACCTTGCTTGTCAGAATGATGACCCTAGAACATTGCAACCATCATAAATATGAATCACTTGCCGAGCATCCGAATTTGAATCACATGACCATGGGCATGCTGCAATGGTCGTAAGTGTGAAAAATGGTCATGTCACTTTTTCAGTGCTGTTGTGACTTTGAGCATTCATTAAATGAACTGTTATAAGTCAAGGACTACCTGTATTTATTTTTGGAAGTTTATTGAGAGATATTTCATGTTTTAATTGAATCAATATAATTTTAACATCTTGTATTTATACCTTTATTATATAATCCCATTTTTTTAGTTTTCCCCATTCCTCTTAATTTTTGCATTATCACTATAGAAACCTGGTCTTGATAAATAAACTGATAAAAACAAAATAAGAACTTTTTTTTTACAATATTACTTTATTCTGAAGGGTTTGTGTGGTTATTTTCAATGTTAACACAATTTGCTAGCATCCAAACTCCAACTATCATATTCATTTATCATGTAATTCACTCTATCTTCTTTATTTCACATTTTATAAATAAAAAAAAACAGACTATTAAAATGCTGGCTTATGCAGTTACTACCTGCATTGTTATGTTTTCCCTTTGATAAGCACCCTTACATATACCTGAAAATAACCTAAGCATAACCTAACTACCATACTTGAACTGATAAGAAAATGTTGGGAATTGTTTCTCCATTTTTCTCATCTTCTGCACCTTTTCTATTCCAGTTTTTCCAGCTAACCTGGCTACCTTAACAGGAGGTATAATAGTGCTGTATTGGTTTTATAAGTAAGAACCAGAGCAGTTTCTTAAAATCATACCTGAGAGGCTCCACTTTTTCTCAAAGTAGTAATATTTGGATATGAAGAATTAACGATTTTCATGAGGTTTGGGCTACATAATGCTTTTGAATATAACCCAGGCTACTGTAGGTTATACCACAGACTGTCTTAACATAGCTAGTATAGCATGGACATTTTTGTAACTGCCACAAACACACAAAATCACAGCTACTTTGTGAAGGTAAAGTTCTAACTTGCAAAAAAATTAAAAAATACAGTATACAAAAGTTAAAAATGAAAACAAGTAATAAAAGGAGCAGTGAGAGTCATTTGCCATAGGCATTAAAAGTTGAACAATAGTTGTCAAATGATAGAAATATGAATATAGATTATTTTAATTTGCTTAACAAAATAATTAAAAATATTCATGGAAGCAAAATATTTGGAAAAAATGCTAAAATGTTTTATGTTCTTTAAATTATTTTGTAGAAAGAGAAATAGATAGTTTTAAATTCTAATCTAAAAATAATTATGGAATTATTTGAAGATGATCTATTTATTAATGAGTTAAATTATAAACTCTTTTCATACTGATGGTATATAACTCGACCTTCAAATTATTATAATGTGATAGTTTTTTACAAGTAAAAGAGTTGTCAATTTTTTGGGCAAGTTCTTTTGCCAGGATAGAAATTAGAATTTACCTTATTTCACTATTGGATAATCTTAGTCAATTGACACACAAATAATGAACTATTTTTTTCCCTTAGTAGTACTTTTTATAATTGTAATATGTGGCATTGCTTGAGATTTTTACAGTGGAAAAAACTTATATCAATTTTTGGTTGATAAATATATTTGCTATCTTCATTCAAGGTTATATTTTGCACCTTTAGTTTGAAACCACCTGAATGTGTAAATAGGACTGGCAATGTGCTCAAACATTCGAGTCCTAAATTATGTATGTGAATGTCAATAATATTCCTGGTTCTGCAAAAGCACCACAAGAAAGCATATAGATTTCACAGGAATGACGAGTTTTCAAGAAGAGATTCATCAAGCACAAGACATTTTGTTTTTTGGTGTCATCGTTGTTTAAACCGAGAGGGATGACCGTTCTGCCTCAGAAGCACCTTCTGTTCACAGAACTTTTGCGCTCTCCCTCTCTCTTTCGCTCCCCCTTCTCTCTCTCGCATTGAGATCCTTCAGACGCCTAGTGCTAAGTTTTCTACATTCTCATATTCGAATTGCACTACCCAGGTACCACCGCTTTCTCTTCCCATCTGCGCTAAATGAAAACAGAAAACACTCCAAGTCTGGCGGCTCCAGTGCACAACCACCTTCGAAGCACAAAACATTCCCTAGAGATAGGATGCCCCTACAAGAGTTTGTTTTTGCGCGTGTGAGCCTGGGAAGCTGGATTCTCCTTCTTCAAAGTTATCTGCGATAAGACTACGAATCGACATACCTCTAAGCAAGTGAGTAAAAACATAGAATAAAAGAGTTGGAAGGGACCTTAAAGGTCTTCTAGTCCAACCCCCTGCTCGAGCAGGAAACCCTATACCATTTCAGACAAGTGGCTGTCCAGCCTCTTCTTAAAAGCCTCCAGCGACCACGACTTCTGAAGTAGAATTGCAGAGAAATCGGCACGGAGCCTGGCGAACCAGTGGCCGACCCCCGCGCTCTCTAGCAACCTCCCGCGACGGTGGGGAAGGATTCCATAACCACAGTTGTATGACTTCTTATCCCTCAGAAACTCCGCTTGGCCCAAGGGCAGCGACTGCTACCAGCGCGACTGCTACCTGCTATCAGGCAGCCCAGGATGGAAGACGGCCGCCCGTCTTACCTGCAGCTCCCTGTCTGGGGTTAGAAATCAGCTTACCCTGGTTCTGCAAGGCGCCCCGGGAGAGCAGTAAGAAGAGGACAAGTAGGGTCGTGCGGGAGGCTAGGCAGCTCATGTTGGCACAACGGGCTATAGCACACTCTGAGCAGCTCCATCCATCCGCCGGGCTTTTATCCTTCTTGGGCTGACCCAAAGGGATAACGACCTAGGAGAGGCAGCGGTTCTTCAGAAGCTGTCAACGTCGGCGCTGTCAAGACCCACCCCTTGCGATAGCAAGGGCAAAAAGGGCGTAGAACGATCTCTGAGCCAATTCCTCGAACTCCGAGTTACGAGCTGAAGAGTGGGAAAGGGAGGGAGAGGAAGGGAAGGAAGGAAGAAAAGGAAAGGGAGGGAGGGGGATCACGAACAGGAAGTTACATTGTCTGGACATCGGGGAAAAGTGTCTCCACCTTAATCTGCAACTATTAAGAGAATTCAGGAAAGGGCTCCTGTTTGGAAAAAGGTACCAAACATATAGCTGGGCTAGCATCTAATCGGCCTTAGGTGATTTCAAAACACTCATCAGGGACCGAGAGGTTAGTTTTTGAAAGATCAGCAGGCATTCCTAAGATGAAAGCTTAGACTGGAAAGAGGGGGGAAACCCCAGAAGAAGACACTGGCAAACATTTCCCTATTGATCACAAGCAAACAAACTATATATATAAATTGCTGGTGTGGTTCATATCTTCAAAAAAGGGAAAAATGGATCCAGGAAAATGCAGCCCAATTTTCCTGAATATCAATATCTGGAAAGACCCTGGAAAAGATAAGTATCAAGTCTGCGAAGCTTTTTTTGTTTGTTTTAACCATTAAGTTTTGCCCAACTCTTGGCAACTTTATAGGCAAGTGTTCAAGCAAGCAAAGCTTGGTCAGTGTGGGTTTGTCAAAACCAGACAATTTTTTTTGACAAAGTAACTAAATTAGTGGACCTGTGAAATGCTGCCAACTTAGTATATGTGGACTTCAGTAAGACATTAGACAACAACCACAACCTACTTCTTGGTAAAATAGAAACTTGTGGTGTAGAAAGCACCAGCACCAGATGGATTCATAAATGACAGACCAGTTATGAACTGACTAGTTATCCTATTCCTACAGGGAGAAAAGCATGCAGTGAGATACTCTTCAAAATCTTCATAAACAATTTAGGTGAGGGAATGGAAGGTGAACCCATCAAATATGTAAAGGACACCAAGCTGGGAGGAATGGATCTTGATGGACTCAAAGACTGGCCACATCCAACAATTCAGTGATGAGAAAAGTGAAGTTCTACACTTAGACAAGAATAACCAAATGTACAGGCATATAATAGGTGGTTGGTGGCTCAACAGCTGCAATTGTAACAGGTATCTAGAAGTCTAATGAAAACCACTGTGTGCCGTAGCTGCCAAAAAAGCCAATGTAGTTCTACGCTGCATCAACAGAGGAATAGTACCAAAGTCATAGGTAGACTTTATGCTACTTTAGTAAGACCACACTTGGAATACCATGTCTTGTTTTGGTCACCATGATATAAAAAAGATGTTGAGGCTACAGGAAGAGTGCAGAGAATAACAACAAAGATGTTTAGGTGGCCAGAGGCTAAAACATATGGTGAACAGTTGCAGGAATTGGGTATATTTAATCTAACAAAGGACTGGGGTAACATGATAGCAATCTTCAAATATTTGAGGAGCTGTCACAGAAAAAATGTCAACCTACTTTCCAAAGCACCTCTGGGCAGGGCAAAAAGTAATGGATAGAAATTTATCAAGGAATGATTCAGCCTAAAAATAAGAAGAAATTTCCTGACAGTGACAACAACTGATTATTAGAATGCCCTACCTCCAGAAATTGTGGTTGCTCCATTACTGGAGATTTTTCTGAAGAGATTGGACAACCGTTTGTCCAAATGGTATAGGTTCTCCTGCTTGGGTCCCTTTCAATTGTCATTCTGTATTCTGATTCACTGCTCTATATGGTGTTGACCTTGTAGTTGAGCTGGCTCTGAAGAAACTATATTGTACACTACAAAAACTATATTTTACTCCAGTCTATCAGCTGAAATGACTGGGATGCAATCCTTTCCCAAAGCTATTGGATTTCAGGCCCTTCTTTGTCTTAGCTTTGAGTTGCAATTCAGAATCTGGATGGGCCAGGTTGTTTTCCCAGGCCTGATAGGGTAAGATAAAATAATGGAATTGGAATGGGCCATTCATAAAATTGATTTCAGTGCCTGCTTGGTACATTTATCCATTTTAAGCAGAAGGGTATCTATAGTCTTCTCCACTTGAACTTATCCAACTCCATCAGCTTTTGAATAATTTTTTGACTTGTGCTCTGGAGTTAAAACAGATCTTGACTTTTTAATTAAACATTTTAAAGATTTTGGCAAGAGTTAACATACACACACATACCATGTGCATAGTTATTCATGCCCTTGTCATGTCCCATTGGATTACTTCAATGTGTTCTACATGGGGCTGTCCTTATAGAGTATTCAGAAGCTACAACTAATACAGATTGCAGAAGCACTGACAGTTCTGCAGGTCCCTTAGGTGCCATATGTAAGTCTGCTGTTACATCAGCTTCACTGATCTCCAGTTTCTTCCAGATACAATTCAAGGTATGAGTTATTGCCTTTAAAGGCCTTTATGCTAAAGGTACAGAGTATCTGAGGAATCGCCTTACCCTGATGTGACTAATCTTTCCCACTCATTCCAATGGAAAGGGCTCACTTTAGATCCATTGGCCAAAGAATTTCAGCTGGCAGAGTCCAGGATAAGAGTGCTTTCTGCTGTGGCCCCCTTCCTCTGGAATATATTCCCCTATATTGAGGATCATCTCTACATTCCAGAGCCTAAAACTTGCTCTGCTTCATGGCTTGGGATCTCGACAGGGGTCTGTTATATTGGGGGTGGCTGAAATGTTAGAGAAGATTCTTACCCTCAGGTTGCCCATCATTTTGGTTCTTAAGTTTCAATCTTTTTATTCTAATTTTAATTGTTTTAGCACCTTTTAATTTTTATTATATTGTAAGATACCCAGAGATACTCTGTGTGTATATTGCATTAATAATACATAAATAAAGTACAAAATACTTTACATCTGGAAATGTAGATACTGTGTAATCTTCAACTTGTGTTATTTTTAAATCAATGCATTTTATTTTCATTCTCAAGTTAACAAATTAAGGGTGAGATCAAGAAACCTTTTGGGTCTGGTTTGATTTGATGTAATTGGGAATGAGGGTGAAACTGGCAATAGTTTTAGTAATTTTCCTTTCTAGTCTCAAAATAAGCTGAATCGATCAGACTCTTCTTCATTTCATATTTCACCTCATCAGTTCCTATTTTGGAAATCTAGTTCTCTCTATCCCATTCTATATTGCAAAGCTAATTGCCCAATCCGGACACAGATCTTCTTGTCCCTTTTCTGGAATCATAACAACCTTAGTGTTTCCCTGTGTTTTTGTTTTTAGTTCATTCTATTTTAGCTCAAGAGTTGCTTAAAAGAAATAGAGAAGGGGGAGCAGCTTTGAGAAGACTCCTGAGTTCAGAATGCCTTCTTCTCCACTGGTGAATGTATGATGATGATGTATGGAGGGAGAGCAGCAACAAAGCCAGGAGGGAAACACAGTCACCTGACCTATAATGACCTGCACATTCAAAGATTAGGACAACATCATTAAACAGAGCAGAAAGTAGGAAAGGAACACCAACTTAAGGATGGACAATATGATGGACAGCGCTTTAATTCAGTCATTGCTTTTCCAAAAATAATAAAATAATAAATAATAAAAACTTAGAAGTGTCACTGCTGGCTGCATTGCCTGCTCTAAAAATGAATTGTTAGGATAGACTTAAATGCAGACTCATGCAAGTTATACAGTGCATGTTAGGAATCTCCTATCCAAAGAATATTATTTAGATACTATTTATTGCACGTTAGGTTTCATTTTTCTCCAGTCCAGTAGTTGCTGCACACAATATATTGTTTGTAAATTTGTATTAGCCATTCTAGGTAGACCAAATAGGAAACAGGATCAGATAAGCAATTCTGCTTTATTTTAAAGCTGCATTAACAGAATTTTGCAAGTCTGAAAATACAATTCTCCCACTATCTCCTTTACAGCTCAAGAAACTAGAGTGGGTTTCTTATGAGCCTCTTGTCCTGCCAACTATGAAGTTGTAGACAATGCAGATTCTTATCTAACAGTTCTGTAGCAGCATCTCTTGGCTTTGTCTCCCAAGGTCATTTTTGCATACCATTATAGATGACTAACTTAATCTGGGACACCTGCTTCATGTATGACCCAAAGGGCCATCTAATACTCCTAACTATTTTGAAATACTATTCTTTGGAAAAGTGTAATATCTCTTATATCTCATTAAAAATCAAACAAGCTTATGTCTGCAAATTTACTTCCTGGCAAATATAGTTAATAGGGAAGTGCAGTTGATTCATGAATTTAATTTCCAGCAACTCCTATTTTATGCAAAGCAGGGGAAGGGGAGAAACAGGTAACAAATATCAAACATAGTGACTCCAGATAATATCTCACCATTGTTAATCTCCATGCATTTCCCTTTTGACAGTACATGCTTTTTAAACTATCTCACAATCCCTTTTTTTAAATAAAAACATAACAAAGGAAATTATTTAAAACTGACTTCAGTTTGTCAAAACACAAATAATATTCTTTTGAGGAAGGAGACACTTTTCTTCATTTAATAAATTTATTCACATTCATGTACCTTTGATCAATCCTAAATTGCTCTAATTTGCTAAATTGCTCTAATTTGATAAATCCTAAATTGCTCTAATAAGGACAAGTATAAAAAGTGGAAAGAGGGGCAAATAAATAAGGCAGAATATCAGTAAATAGCCAGAGCCCGTAAAGTTGAAGTGAGAAAAGCTGTGGTTCACAATGAATAAATGCTTGCGACAAAAGTAAAAAAAAAAAAAAAAAGCTTTTCCCAACATGTTAAAAACAAGAAAAATAGTCAAGGAAATAATTGATCCATTGCTGGGAGAAAGTGGCAAGAAGGTGACAAGCAGCAGGGAGAAAGCAGAACTACTTAACTTTGCATCTGTCTTTACACAAAGGGAAAAAACAATCCAACATATCAAAAACAGCAAAAGTAAGTAAAGTAAGTAAAGTAAAACCCTTAGAAATAACCATGTTATACAAGTGAACTAAGCCACGTGCTATTCATTTGGTTTTTATTAGGTTTCATTAGGTGATTATATTCAATGATCAGA